ATATATATATATGTATATATATATTATATACTATATATATATATATATATATATATATATGATTTTATTTACATATTTTAATATACACATAAATATATGTATTATAAGTAGGCTATACAATTTTATATAAATATTAAAATTCATATAGTATAAATTAATATTAAAAATACATGGAAAATGTTTTGCCTTAAAATGATCAATAACTGGCAAATGTCAAAACCTTTTTAAAAGGTTATTTAGTCAACAAATTAAACTTCATGCAAATAAATACGGAATACATAAGATAAATTCCTCATAATAAAAAGATTTAATTTTTAAAAAACTAATTTTAAAAGCCTCTGTCATATCTGAAAATAAGGTTCTGTACCAAGAAATAAAACAGCCAGTGAAAGATGCAGTGTTATTGATTTAGAAATACTCAACAATGCTCAGCATTCTTAAAAAATGGAAATAGAAAAGAAATAATTAATTTAACTGAGCCTGCCCATATGGCCACTTTTGTTTCCATGCCAATCCAGAAAGCAGACTGCAACATTCTGTAATGATGTCATCACTCACTCAGATTCATTACATTTGCATTTTAGTTTTTAATTATTACATATAAAAAGGATTACTGTCAATATTTGCATCCTTGAAGAATTAAGTTGATCAGGTGGTTTTCTTTATCACAGTAGGCCTATCTCTCATTTCCAGTCTCCACATGACATGGTGCATAAACTGCATCCCGAAGGCAAATTCAATCACAGTGATTTCTCTATAATAGCTTAGTTGATTCCCTCTCTTTGATACAGAGAGACTCTATTCACAACATAGTGACTGACATATGGTTCTGTTACCTATAATCGAACACAGTTGCTCAATACAGTGAACAGTACACGTTCCTAGTTTCAAGGGAACTGAGCTTGTGACGTTTTCTAGTCATTTTGTTGTCAGTTTTCTTCCAGAAGACTGATAGCTGTCACATTTTTCCACTCGCATCACTCCATTTATCCACATCACTCCAGTGAATATTTGAAAAAGTACCAACATTTCCACTGTTACTGTCCAAGGAAAAAATCGCACAGTTCATTTAGGCGATGTTGACTTTTATTCAGCATAAGCTGTCACAAAAGGAACCTATTTTATTTGATTGTATTATTTTATTTTATTTTGTTAAGAACAACATAATAAAAAAAAGGAAATACTGAAGTTTAAAATGCCATAATCCACATCACATAATCCATGTGCAGTTAAAATGTACTGTATGCGATTTAGTGGTATTTCAGTCATATTTAATAATAAAATAATTAATAAACACAAATTAATTCAACAAAATGCAATAAAAAGGGACAAATTAAAATACTACTATTAAAACAAATTGAAATTAATTCAAAAAAATAAATTCTAACAAATATATCATAACCTACATAACTGCCTTGATATAGCCTATCATCTACTGGTTTATATAAACAACCATAGGGTACAATATAGGCTACAATACGCCAAGATGTCTAGCAGAAATAAATTAGATTTTTTTTTTTTTTTTTTTTTTTTTCCCATACGAAGGCTTTATGCAATCGCATTCAATGGCCACTAGGTGGCGACTTAACATTGCGAGAATCTCTTGATTCTTCAAACAGATTGTTGAGTTCAGCTCACTGCCCAGCAACTGTTCATGTGAAATCCTGCCAATTAGAAAATACAGAACAGGACAGTTCAGTTTGTTCAGCCAGTTTGTTTAGTCAACTGTCCAATGCTGAATTGCTGATTTATAAAAATGAGTGAGAAAAGGGGAAGAATGTAAAAAAAAAGGGGAAAGACAAGTCAGTGCATGGCTTTGCTGAAATCAGCGTGTGTCTGTGACCCCACAGATGGCAGAGGGAGGGTGGAAGTGAGTTTGTCTCCTTCAGCGGAGTGATCAATTAAACCCATCCAACCCACAATGCCTACCTCCTCCAGTATTGACTCATCTGGACTGTCACACACACACACACACACACACACACACACAGATTATTGGCTGACACATAAACCGACGAAATTAAGATCCAGATCCTCTTTGTCACTGTTTGGTTGTGCAAAACCAGAACGTATATGGTCAAGGAAAAACTAGAACATCAATCCGCAAAGAGTTTTACATGTAGGCTTCATGCATGTGTGTGACACTGATTGCATGAGATGAGTCATATTTCTATGATTGGCCACTTTTCTCCAGCACCTTCTGCCTCTTTCTGTCCCTTTCATCCTCTCTTACTCACAGACAGACACATAAACACGTTTAAAGCAAGAAAAAGGCTGTGTTTAAGAATGAGAGAACATGCACCACGTTGAAGGAGGAGGACCATAAAGCAGCAGACAAAGAGAGAGACAAATTAATGATTACAGGGCCTAGGATGGATGAAATTACAGACATGGATGAACAAACAGCACTTATTTGCTGCTGTTTCTCTTTCTCTCTAGCGCTCATTTGCTTTCCCTCTGATGAATTTCAAGAGTTGTGATGGCTTCCCTTTCAGATGTACACTATAAACATCACAGTATATGTTGGATGAAAGCTCGAGGGAGGGAGGAACTGACTGGCAGGATGGGGGAAATGATCTTAACCATTAAAACTGTTAGACTGTGACTACTAGACTATTGACTGTGAAGATCTCACTTGTTGTCTTGTTTTTTTCTATGTAGTTTTTCATCATCATTGAGGAAATTATCCTACAAATATGTGACCCTGGACCACAAAACCAGTCTTAAGTGTCAATTTTTCAAAATTGAGATTTATACATCATCTGAAAGCTGAATAAATAAGCATACATTGATATGATAGGACAATATTTGGCTGAGATACAACTATTTAAAAATCTGGAATCTGAGGGTGCAACAAAATCAAAATATTGAGAAAATCGCCTTTAAAGTTGTCCAAATTAAGTTCTTAGCAATGCATATTACTAATCAAAAATTACGTTTTGATATATTTACAGTATAAAAAATTGACAAAATATCTTCATGGAACATGATCTTTATTTAATATCCTAATGATTTTTGGCATAAAAGAAAAATCAATCATTTTGACCCATACAATGTATTTTTGGCTATTGCTACAAATATCCCCGTGCAACTTAAGACTGGTTTTGTGCTCCAGGGTCACATATGCATTAAAACAGCTCAACTGGAGTGCTTTCTTACATGCTAAACTTGCTAAGAAAAGAAGATTCACAAACGTTATCTCTTCAACCCTATAAAGCATAGTGTGTCTTATTTCTAAGGCAACAAAATGAACAATATGATCAAAGCTCTAAAATGCATGCCTTTTATCATCTGACTGATAGTTTATGCTTTTTTAGTAAGTAAAACATTTTAAAACTATCCACCTTCAGCTCGTGGCACACTTTCTGCTGGGAAATCTTTACTGATTTTTATGGAGCAAAGGTAAGAGTAAATTATATTGTTAGCAATCTTTCATGATGAACACTTACTGGACTGAAGCAACATACACTCTAAAAAATGCTGGGGTAAATATAACCCAGCGCTGGGTTAAAAAGGGACAAACCCAGCTATTGGGTTGTTTTGAACCCATCTATTGGGTTGTTTTGACCCAGCGGTTGGGTTGTTTTGAACCCAGCTATTGGGTTGTTTTGACCCAGCGGTTGGGTTGTTTTGAACCCAGCTATTGGGTTGTTTTGACCCAGCGGTTGGGTTGTTTTGAACCCAGCTATTGGGTTGTTTTGACCCAGCGGTTGGGTTGTTTTGAACCCAGCTATTGGGTTGTTTTGAACCCAGCTATTGGGTTGTTTTGAACCCAGCTATTGGGTTGTTTTGAACCCAGCTATTGGGTTGTTTTGAACCCAGCTATTGGGTTGTTTTGAACCCAGCTATTGGGTTGTTTTGAACCCAGCTATTGGGTTGTTTTGAACCCAGCTATTGGGTTGTTTTGAACCCAGCTATTGGGTTGTTTTGAACCCAGCTATTGGGTTGTTTTGAACCCAGCTATTGGGTTGTTTTGAACCCAGCTATTGGGTTGTTTTGATTAAACTTAATTATCCATACACAATTTTTTTAAATCGTGTTAAAATGTAAGCATCAAATATGATCCATCAGGCTTTTGAGGAAATTTGTTCATCTCTCAATCATCATTGTATTGCATGTTTTGCACCACAGTAAAAACAACAGGGTTTTGATCATACACTCTAAAAAATGCTGGGTTAAATACAACCCAGTGCTGGGTAAAATAGGGACAAACCCAAACATTTTTTTTTAGAGTATTTTTTA